GTTCTATGAAAATATATAGTAGGGAATCTGACCTAGGATGACCAAATCTCCAAGTTCCTGAAGAGATAACATTTGGGTTTCCTTCATTGAAGGGAGAGTATGAGTTAACTGGACAAGGATATAGAAGATATATAGCTTGTAGAAGATACTATAGGCAGTATAGCGTGGTTAAATACAGCAGGCTGTCAGTTGGGAGATGACTAGATCAATTGGTAGTGAGTGAGGTAGAGTATTTTGGTTAAGGACCAGATGGCAGAGAGGAGGAAGCTGCCTCAGCAACACAATGATGCCCACATAATCAGGTGGTTATTCACTTTGTATCAATATTGAGTTTAGATTGATGTGACAACACGCCCCTTACTTACTACCTGTGGACCCCAAGGCCATATTTTTATACCTATCCTACCTGGGGGAAGTACCATAAAGACAAAGGCTGAGGTCAACAAACTCCTTGGGTGTGTGTTTCCTCTGACTACCTGATTCAAGTGGCCTAGCACGAGGCCCAGCTGCTTCCAGCAATGGACAGAACAAAAAAATGACAAGTGTGTGAATACTAGAGATGCCAGGTCAGTCACCTCCAGTTTGTTGTGCATCTTTTAGGCTCAGCTCCAAGGTGACAACAAGGGCAGAGTTCACAAATCTGAGCTCAGCTCTCCTGGATGGAGAACTCCTTGTCAGTGGTGCCATCTGCAGGGCATTAAGGAATTTGCTAGGAGTTTGATGGGATTGGGAGCGGAAAATGGTATCTCCAGATAAAATGTTCTTCCCTCCTCCTGGCCCAAGCCCCTTAGTCTAAGCATAAATTCCAACCTGGGTCCTCTATAGGGCTAAAACACTCATGTTTCCTCTAATCTTGTGGCAGGCAATATTTAAGGCTCTTGGTTCTATAAGGCAGGACACAGGGCTGTGGTATCACTTCCCTCCTTCTCTACCAATTAAATCTGTCATCTGTAAAAGGAGGCACTGGGTTTCTCCCATTTTAATAGTAATCTCAAGGAGGTGAAGAATGTTGGATTCTTTAAAAAAAATAGGTATTGATGTAGTTAAAGTTAGCTATCAGCCGGGTGAGGTGGCTCATGCCTATAATCCCAGTACTTTGGGAGGCAGAGGTGAGAGGATTGCCCAAGCCTAGGGGTTTGAGACCAGCTTGAACAACTTGGCAAGACCTCATCTCTACCAAAAAAAAAAAAAAAAAAAATTAGCCAGACGTGGTGGCATGTGCCTGTAGTCCCAGCTACTCGGGAGGCTGAGGCAGAAGGATCACCTGAGCCCAGGATGTCAAGGCTATGGTGAACCGTGATCATACCACTGCACCCCAGTCTGGGAGAAAGAGTGAGACCAAGATTCAAAAAACAAACTCAGTTATCATCGTGGCATACAGACATTTGAAAACAAAGGGGACAGAGGGAAATACTGAATACGAGCAGAAAGTTGGATCAATAGTCAAATAACTAGGTATAAAAAATATGTAGGTCAGGAGAGGTGCAGGTGAGAGATATCTGTTCTAAAGGAGAGCTTAAAAGGCAACCAAAAGACCGGGCATGGTGGTTGACACCTATAATCCCAGGACTTTGAGAGGCTGAGGAAGAAGGATCACTTGAGCCAAGGAGTTCAAGAACAGCCTGGACAACAAAGTGAGACCCCATCTCAAAAAAAAAAAGGCAACCAAAACCATTGGTAGCGGTGTGCACCTGTAATTCTTGCTACTTGGGAGGCTGAGGTGGAAGAATTGCTTGAGCCCAGGAGTCTGAGAGATTGAAGCTATGGAACACTATGATCATGCCTGCGACTAATTACCACACTTCAGCCTGAGCAACATAGTGAGACCCTAGCTCTTAAAAAAAATAGGCCACCAAAAATATCATTTGAGTTTGAGCTGTAGAAAATGGAAAATCTTTTCTAATCTACAGATTTTCCTCCTTTTTAAAAACAAAATATTTCAAGCATACACACAAAAATAAAAATAATATAACCATGATATTGTTCTTCTCTATGTCAACATTAAACCTTTGGGTTTTGTTGTTGTTGTTGTTGTTGTTGTTGTTTTGAGTTGGAGTCTCACTCCATCACCCAGACTGGAGTGCAGTGGCACGCTCCCAGCCACCGCAGTCTCGACCTGCTGGGCTCCAGCAATCCTGCTTCAGCCTTCCAAGTAGCTGGAACTACAGGCGAGCGCTACAACGCCTGGCTAATTTTTGATTTATTGTAGCGATGAGGTCTCGCCAAGTTGCCCAGGCGGGTCTCAAGCCCACAGGCTCAGGCAATCCACTCACCTTGGCCTCCCAAAGTGCTGGGATTACAGGCTGAGGCACCGAGCCCGGGCTAAACTCTCATGTTTTGTACATAATACCCAATGATTCTCACCTCCTGTCATTGTGTAATTTCTTCCCACATCGAATACGTCTGACTGACATGTGTAAAGAACAGGATATTGTAGAAATGACAGTGTGACTTTGAGTTTAGGTCATAAGACATTGCGGCTTCCAATTTGCATTTTCTTGGATCACTCACTCTGGGGGAAGCCTACTGGCATGTCTGAAAACACCAAAGCAACCCTATGGAGAGGTTCACATGGTAAAGAACTAAGACCACCTGCCAACAGTTAACACTAACTTGCCAGGCATGAGTGAGCCATCTTGGAAGTGAGTCCTTCAGCTCCAAGCATTCCAATGACTGACTACAGCCTCAGTCAACATTTGACAGCAACCTTACCAGAAACCTTGAGACAGAACTATCCAGCTAAGCTGCTATTGAATTTCTGATCCATACAAACTGCAGGAAGTAAAACACGTTTATTGTTTCAAGCCACAAAGTTTTGGGGCAATTTGTCATGCAGAAATAGATGACTGCATAAAATAGCAAACCACCCATGTTTGTCTTCTCAACATTTTGCCTTGTTTGCTCCAGATGTTTTATTTTCTTGAAAATACAAGTCCCCTCCCCACCAAAAATAAACACAACAAACCAAACCACTATAAACAATTGATACCCCAGCTTCTCACTCCTGCTCCTGCCTGCTTTGTGCCTCAGAACTCAAAAAACACCATGGCACTCTCTCTCCACTGAATACGTGTACTTCTCTGATTTTAGCCCACCCAGGGTACCTTCCTGGAAGGCAAGCTCTTCTGTGTAGTTTTCTGCTGCTTGTCTAGCTATCTTTCCTGCTTGCTTTGCAGGAAAAAAATAAAATGACATAACATTTCACAGGGTCTACTGGCATCTCTCAAGAAATTCTTGCTCAGTGAGTTCAGCACTAATTCAAAAACTTTAATCCTCATTTGGTCACTAAATCAGCTTAGGATCCAGTCCCAAGTGCTTTAAAGTCCTGCCATCTGCCTTCCCCTGCAGCCTGTGTTGGCTGTATGTGTTGCAGAGCCACCTACCAGAGCCTTTTCTCTGAAATGCCCATGGCAAAACTAGTCATACCTTACTTATCACTGGTAGGTTTCAGGACCCCCAGTGGCTATCAAAATCCAGACCCTCGGGTCCTTTAGATAAAATGGTCTCACACATGCATCTTCCTGTATACTGTAAATCTTTAATCTCTAGATTACTTATATACCTAATACAATTAAATGTTATGTAAGTAGTTATGTTGTATTATTTAGGGAATAAGGAAAAAAGTCTCATGTTCAGCATGGACACAACCACTCATTTTAAAAAGTACTTTCAACCGGGCTCGGTGGCTCAGCCTATAATCCCGCGCCTTTGGGAGGCTGAGGTGAGTGGATTGCCTGAGCCCACGGGTTCGAGACCCGCCTGGGCAGGCGAGACCTCATCTCTACAATAAATCAAAAAATTAGCCGGCGTGGTAGCATGCGCCTGTATTTCCAGCTACTTGGAAGGCTGAGGCAGAAGGATCGCCGGAGCCCAGCAGGTCGAGGCTGCGGTGGCCGGGAGCAGCCACTGCACTCCAGTCTCGGCGACAAAGTGAGACTCCAACTCAAAACAAACAAACAAAATAAAAAAGTACTCTCAGCCCACAATTAGTCAAATCCATAGCTATGGAACCCAGATAGGGAGGGCTGAGTTTATTTGCAAATTTATAGGATTTCTGGGCTAAGAAAAAAAACTGGAAAAACTATAGTCTTCCCTACTCTTAAATCAAGAAAACATCAACATACTAGGCAGTCTAAGTAATTGCTCCTGTGCTTTGATTTGTAATTTATATTATCAAAAAGAAATTTGTTTGCACATTTCTTCTAACAGTTCTTTCTTTACAAATGTAGCAAAAATATTTGAAGGACTATAAACCCTGCCAAGTACTATAAAATGTAAATTGTTCTTTTATAAATATTGTCACTTCACCCTCATGTACTATAATCCTTTCCTACCAATGCACATGGTTTATTCTATATTTGGTTTTCTCCCCTAACATGACTTGTTGACCACCATGAATTCTGGTCCTACAGATCACTAGAGCTGAGAAAACGGCCTTTGTTACCTTCAAATATTACTGCTTTCCAGTTCAAGATTCTTAGGCTTAAAAAATTCCACCAACAGGTTAACAGGCCCCTTTTAAACAGCAATTTACAAGATACCTAAAAATCTACTTCTTATACCTCATTAGCAATTAACCAATCATACTATCGAATTAAACTCTGGATTAGCAGATGGCTTTCATCATTTTCCCACCTCCCATGGACACGCTGAGGTGTCAACAGACAAGTTCTTTTTTTTCATGTTTAACAATCTTTAATTCAAATGTAAAAGTTCAATACAAGCCATTTGTAGGGCTTGGGATTTGTTCTTTTAGAAACAAGAAATGGGGAAATGCAACAAAATGATCTTTCCACTTTTCAAAAGCTAACAGACAAGTTTGAGAATCTAGGCCATCACCTGCTTAGTCCATTGTGCTCCATTTTTTCAGTACAGGTATCTAGACATAAGTAGGATCCCTGACATGACCACCATGTTGCAGACTCTTTATACTCTATAGAGTGTAAGTAAATTGCAAAAACTAAACAGTTTTAGGAAAAGCACAGAAGACAAAACGTTTTATCTTAAAGCTTTTACTTTGAGACACGATGGAAAAACCTTACAGGTACACATGGAAAAGACATGATCACCACTGAGTGAGAACAATCTAACCAGAAAGCTTCAATGCCTGTCAGCTAAAGGTTGGGATGAAATTCTGGGAGATGACATGCTGCAGGGCTGAAAGGGCAATTAGTATTCTTCTCCTTCTTCCTCTCCCTCTCCTTCAACAGAATCCACACCAACCTCCTCATAATCCTTCTCAAGGGCAGCCATGTCCTCACGGGCCTCAGAAAACTCTCCTTCCTCCATCCCCTCACCCACGTACCAGTGAACAAAGGCACGCTTGGCATACATCAGGTCAAACTTGTGGTCCAGGCGGGCCCAGGCCTCAGCAATGGCTGTGGTATTGCTCAGCATGCACACAGCTCTCTGTACCTTGGCCAGGTCTCCACCAGGTACCACGGTGGGAGGCTGGTAATTAATGCCAACCTTGAAGCCAGTGGGACACCAATCCACAAACTGGATGCTGCGCTTGGTCTTGATGGTGGCAATGGCAGCATTGACGTCTTTGGGAACCACATCACCACGGTACAACAGGCAGCAAGCCATGTATTTACCATGGCGAGGATCACATTTCACCATCTGATTGGCTGGCTCAAAGCAAGCATTGGTAATCTCTGCTACAGAAAGTTGTTCATGGTAGGCTTTCTCAGCAGAGATCACAGGGGCGTATGTCGCCAGAGGGAAGTGGATGCGGGGATAGGGCACCAGGTTGGTCTGGAATTCTGTCAGGTCAACATTCAGGGCTCCATCAAATCTGAGGGAAGCAGTGATGGAGGACACAATCTGGCTAATAAGGCGGTTAAGGTTAGTGTAGGTCGGGCGCTCAATATCGAGGTTTCTACGACAGATGTCATAGATGGCCTCATTGTCTACCATGAAGGCACAATCAGAGTGCTCCAGGGTGGTGTGGGTGGTGAGGATGGAGTTGTAGGGCTCAACCACAGCTGTGGAAACCTGAGGGGCTGGGTAGATGGAGAACTCCAGCTTGGACTTCTTGCCATAATCCACAGAAAGACGTTCCATCAGCAGGGAGGTGAACCCCGACCCAGTTCCCCCACCGAAGCTGTGGAAAACCAAGAAGCCCTGAAGACCTGTGCACTGGTCAGCCTGCAGGGGAAGAAAAAATATGTAGTATTTTAATGGCAGGACACATTCCTACTTAGGACTTCTATTCTTTTTCTTTTCTTTTTTTTGAGTTGGAGTCTCACTCTGTCACCCAGGCTGGAATGCCGTGGTACGCTCGCGGCAACTGGAGTCTCTACCGCTGGGCTCAGATGATCCTTCCACCTCAGCCTTCCAAGTAGCTTGAACTACAGGCATGTGCTACCACGCCTGGCTCTCTTTTTCTTTAAATTATGAACCGTATCAGATTGATATAAGCTAGACAAATTGGCAAAATAGACACAACTGCAAGTTGTCTAATAACCCAAGGAATGTCTGATTTAGAAGTCTAATTAATATAGTAATTAGTAAGCAGCCTATTTTACATTTTGAACCACTGCATCCAGGCCCTCCCCATTCCACTTTAAATACATGTTTACCAGCTTGCGAATTCGGTCCAAAACAAGGTCAATGATCTCCTTGCCAATGGTGTAGTGCCCTCGGGCATAGTTGTTGGCAGCATCTTCTTTGCCTGTGATGAGCTGTTCAGGGTGGAAGAGCTGGCGGTAGGTGCCTGTGCGAACTTCATCTGAAAGAGGAAAACAAACCAGCCAGCCATCACTGCACACGCCTCTCAACGCTTGTGGACACTGAAGGGAGACTGTGTGTGTGCGCGCAAAAAAAATCAGCAGAGCCCCCTAGGATCTCACTTGGATTCCTGTGATCAACTTACCAATGACCGTGGGTTCCAGGTCTACAAACACTGCCCTGGGCACATGTTTGCCAGCGCCTGTCTCACTGAAGAACGTGTTGAAGGAGTCATCTCCTCCCCCAATGGTCTTGTCACTTGGCATCTGGCCATCAGGCTGGATGCCGTGTTCCAGGCAGTAGAGCTCCCAGCAGGCATTGCCAATCTGGACACCAGCCTGGCCAACGTGGATGGAGATACACTCACGCTGTGGGAAGAAAGAGAAAAATAAAATCAGGATTTAAAATAACCTATTAGTGACTGTCAGTGGAACAAAATACTTATGAAATCTTATTCTTACAAATAAACAAAGTTCCTTTTAAAAAACGATACAAAATGTGCTGCTCTTTTTTGTAGGGGAGAATGACTAACACTTTGGATCCACATGGCTTTATTTTATTTTCATCCCATAAGGAGCGATAACATTGTGTTTTTTTAACATATAGTTTATTTAGAAAGTAAATTAGAGACAAGAGAGGAGATTCACCTCCCCAAGGTAGGGGAAGGGGTCAAATTCAAGAAACACGGAGGCCATAGCTCAAAGAGCCACGTGGACACATCAGAGTTTAACAAGGCAATGGCCGATAAATTGCTTTTGAATCTTATCCTTCCATCCTAAGTCGGGAAGGCCTCTTTACAAAGAAAAATGCTTAGTCACAGCTTCCTTCGTTGGAAGACCAAGATAGGAAGACGGGTACATATCCAGCTGTCAGCCCTCAGAATCCCACTTTAGACTAGGTGGCCACATTTCCGGGCAGCTCCTAGCACAGGAAGCACGTGGCCAGGGCAGTGCAGAAGAAATGTCTGGCCGCAGGGACGAGGGGCGGGGCTCTGCGGCACAGGATGAATGAGCAATTCAGGGAGCACGCGCCTGCGCCCATGCCCCCCAGCGGCCGGCGGGGCCGTGCAGCTGCAGAAGCACGCAATGGCCACGTCTGCAGAAGGCTGCCTTGGCCACCCATCCTCCTTTGCCCGCAAGCATTGGGCTCAGCCTAAGACCTCCACAACAGTCCGGGCGCGGTAGGGGATTATCGGCGGCCTAGATCTGGGCCAAGATCCGATTTCCGTTCCCTCAAAAATCCCTTACTGCCACCACCTGCTCCCTCAACGAATTCCTAACGCAGCAGGGGTGACAAATGGCCCCTACAAGCTGTTGGGAGCTAATTGTCCTAATACACTGGTGTAGCGCGGCCACTGTCATGGAGCACTTCTCCATGTTCATCTCTTTGCTTTCACTAAAAAACCCCACAAAACTCGGGGTAAGGGAGGACACGCCCTGCAGCCATGGTCCTGCCGTGTCTAGCGCGCATGCGCAGACTGTAGTGGCGGTTTCCCGCCGCCCTCGGGCGGGAAGGTAACGGTTGCGCGTGCGCTCCAGTCTCCCGCTCCTTCCCGCCCCCGCTCGTCGCGCCGAAGAGGAAGTGAGGGCGGGGAGATTCCGAGCGCGCGCCCGCCAAAGACGGGGAAGGGGGGAAGGGCATGCGCGGGAAGGACTGCAGGGTCTCGAGGCCCCGCGCCCAGGAAGGAGTTCAGTGCTGAACTAAAGGAGATCTCCAAAAACGTCGAGGGGAGCCGAACCCCGCCATGCCTCCCACAGTCCGAGAAAAATCCTGCGGAGTCCCCATCTGACCGCCCCCATTCTCCACAAACCGAGGTCTCATCTCCTCCCGCCCTCGCCTTTCTTCACCCTCCCCGGGGACGGCGATGATCCCCACCTTCTCGGGCGAGAAGCCCTGGGCGTCTCCCGGGCTCGCTTCCCCCAGTCTCCCGGACTCACCATACTGGCTAAGGGTGAGGAGAAGAAGGCGACTGGAGCAGACAC